TGATTTTTTTATTTAATATTAAGATAAAATACAAAGTTAAAAAAATTCCAAAAATATATGACTCATACTGTATATACTTGGCTATAGTGTCTTATGTAATTGGATATTTTAAATTTTTTATTAGATATTGCTTAAGACTATATGGATTTTAATAATTTTTTTGTTATTGCTTGAATAGTTAATAAAAAAAAAAAAACTAGGATAGATGGACCATTCTTTTTTAGTCTTGCATTAAACTTTTTTTAGTAAAAGAAATATACTTATATTAGTTACAATATTTGTAATATTATTAATCAATAATTTCTTATAAATAAAAGTTTGATTAATATCTATTCTAATTTATAAAAAAATAATTATTTAATAAAATTCTTATATTTAATACTTGTTAAAAAAAACAAATAAAATAATTAATAGTGTTATTCTATAGAAAAATTTTTTATTTTATTTAAAATTATACATAAGGTTACTATTGAATTTGCAATTTAATATAAAAGTTAAAAAAATTTTATTATTATTATGTATTACGTATTTTAAAAAATTTGATTAACGTGTAAATCACTAACCAAATAAGAAATCGATCGCTATTTACATGTCGTTACTGGATCTTGATTTTTTCTAAGAATGTCACAAATTGCAATAGACTACACTTATAAATGTGTTTTATTAGATATTGAAGGAACCACTACACCAATTTCTTTTGTTCATGATAAATTGGTTTGTTTTAATACATCAATAATTCTAAAAAATTCGATCACCATTTTCTTCAATTAATTTCTTTTTCTTAATGGCCTAGTTCCCGTTCGTAACAAATAACCTTGAAAATTTCTTGAACAAAAATTGGAAAAACAACGAATTGCAAGAACAAATACAATTGTTAAGAGAGCAGGTTGGTTGTGAATTTAATAAATTCAGCCGAATAAGTTATCTATAACACATCTTTTGCAGGCAATTAAAGATGTCAGTGCAGGAGAATTTCCAGACGCTAAAGCAATTCCAGAAGAGATTGACAAGTAATCGTATATTTTTAACCATTTTAACCATCTATCCTTATTCTTTTGCAAGCAATTCATGTTTCCTTAACATGTTTTTCTAAAAAAAAAGTAACGAGGAGGAAGTCAAGAATGCCGTAATTCAGAATATTACCTGGCAGATGAAATTGAACAGGAAGATTGCTGCGTTAAAATCATTTCAGGGATATATGTGGAGGGGTGGATATGAGTCAGGCGAACTGAAAGGAATGTACGTAATTCATAAAACTCGATATTAAATTTATAATATCGATGCATATTTACTTTGTTTACTTTATGTAATCGTAGAGTATATCAAGATGTAATAGAAGCGTTGAAAAGATGGAGAGAGATAGGAATAAAAATATACATATATTCATCTGGAAGTATTGCAGCACAAAAATTATTATTTGGCTATTCTGATAATGGTAATTTGCTAGAGGTAATTTTTCTTACCTATAATTAATATCGGGAAAAATTTGTTTATTTTAATAACATCAATTTAAAATTAGTACTTTTCGGGTCATTTTGATACCACGATTGGCTCAAAACTTGAAAAGCAGAGTTATGAGGATATAGCCAAAGAGGTTAAGTTTGAACCAACTGAGATCTTGTTCCTGAGTGATAATGTTAAAGGTATTTTACTTTCTGCATCATACAGAATCACATGCAATTTTTATAAGCAATCTTCTGATCATCAATATTTAGAAATAGTTGCGGCAAAATCAGCAAAATTCAAAGTTGCAATCGTTGATAGACCAAAGAATGCTCCTTTGTCTGACAAAGATAGAAATGATTTTATTGTATTTACTGACTTTCTTCAAGTTCTTGCGCATCCTGAATTCATTGCATCTCAAGGTTAAAGGCTATCGTGATAATTCAATAAAATTAACTAATTACAATAAAAAATATATTTTTTTAAATTCAATTATTATTTAAAAAATTATTATTATTATTATATAATTTTCTTGATTTTTTATTATACAGCAATTACAAAATTCTAAAATCAAATCTTTAAACAAATATACATATATATACTGTAATAATATACAGTATGTTGTAAAAAAAATACAATTATATTTTTATTTATAACTTAGCAAAAATTAATAAAAATAAAAATAATAAATTTAAATATAATTAAATTAATATTTATAAAATAATTTTATTTAAAATTTATTATTTATTTTATTATTTAATTCAATATTTTGATTTTTAACAAAATTTTATATTATATTTTTAATTTTTATTTAAAAAAAGTAATATATATTTATATTTATATAGTTTTGCTTTTTAAATAAAAGATTTACAATATATATCTTGTTAAATACAAATTAAATAAAAAATAATATTTACATATAAAAAAACAATAACAATAATTTTATATTATAAATATAATATATAGTTTCTTTAATATTATTAAATTAAGTTTTAAAAAAATAAAAATAAAAAAAATCAATAAATTTTAAAAAACAATTTATTATTTGAAAAGAATACTTTTTAAATAAATACTTTTAAATAAAGACAGTATATAAATTATTTATACATTTTTAATATAATATAATATAAATATTTTAATTAATATTTATAAAAAAAAATTAGATAAAGTTTTAAACTAATAAAAACTTTTAAAAAACTTATCTAAATATTATTATTTTTTTATATATAATATATAACAATTTTTAAAACTTAATTTTAAAGTATATATATTTTATATATAATTTTTTTTAAGCAAAAGTTATAAAATTTTATTGGCTTAAAAATAATAATAAAATATTATTTTTTGAATAAAACAATATTTTAAATATTTTATAATATAATTCAAGTTTAAAATATTATAAATTAATTAAATATCTTTATGATATTTGTTAATATAATACAAGTTTAAAATATTATAAATTAATTAAATATCTTTATAATATTTATATTTAATAGTTTTTTATATAAACAATACAATAGAATTTTGTATTTTTATAAAAAAAATAAGCAATAAATAATATTATAATATTTTATTAAAATATTATTTAATCAAATATTTAAAAAACTTAAAAATATATAAATATTTTAACAAATATATTGTTAAGTTTTTAATATATTTTTTTTACAAGTTTCATATTAATTATTATTATTATCAAATTTTAATTTAATTAAAAATAATAATAAATAATAATAATAACTTATAAAAAAAAATCAAATATTTTTTAAATATTAAAATAAAATATATATTTTTATTTTTTATTAAAAAAGTAATTTATAATTATATATTTAATACTATATTAAGATATAAAATATATAAATATAATTTGATAGCTTGTATCTAAACCTTTTAAACATTTACTAGAAAATATAAAAAAGTAAAACCATAAATATTATAAAGTAAAATATAAGCAAAAGGAAGAAAGTAATAAGAATTCTAATAATAGTTAACAAATATATGTATATTCTTTAAATAGACTATGCCTAGTATACAAATTCATCTTCTAAATGTAAGTTGCTATAATCAAATTAAAAAAAATGTGGTGTTAAGATTAGAATAGTTAGTTAGACCTTTCATATAACAATTGTAATTTCAATATTAAGTTTATAAAAGTCTATATATAATATGCTTAACCTCAAAAAAAAAATTATTAAATTCCATAATGTTTTTTAAATTTTTTTAATCAATTTGCAGAAAATGTTAAAGTCAATTTATCTAAATATAAATGTATTGCTATTTTTATTATTTTTGTTTTTATTTTTTTTTATTTTTTTTGCCTCTAATTAGATTGCAATCCTTGTGTTTATTAATTTTTATACAAATAAAACAATAATATATTGAACCTTAAGGTTTTATACTAGAGCTAAACTGTACCTATTGCAGAACACCTGTCAACAAGTTATTTTTAGATTTGTATATGATTCTTGAATTCTTAATACCAAGACCACTGTGTCACCCATATGATTTAGCTATTTACTAATTATTTTACTACAAGGGAGTTGGTTTATTAAGCTATTATTATATGATATTAACTATCTTAGACTTTTCAAATCTTAACTCTTTAAGCGTGATTATGAGAAATAATAAAATTGCTTCTTTTTCAAGACCACTCCTTGGCTTTAAGAAAAATCATAGCTAGCCTACATTCAAGCTATTATTCCTATACGAACCTATAGTCCTAAGAAGTAAAAAAATTTTATTTTTAGGAAAAAAAAGAAAAGTGAAAAGAGTAGATAAAGAGTTTATTCTGATAAATAAAAATCTACCAATATCAACTTCGGTCCATCGGGATAAATTCTTTATCACCAACTGCAGCCAGGTAAACTATTTAATTTTCACTATTCTCTTGCTGACCAAGAACGTTCAAGGTACTTATTACAAGACTGATATACTGCTTGAAACAAGACTTATATCCATTGAAAATTATTGCTTGAGACAAGTCTTACACTAATATTTGTTACCTTCTCAGGATAATTAACAACAGAAGAGGCTTCTTACTAGATTGGGATGAGACTTCTTTTAATTTTGAAGAAAAAAGAAACTAGTCCAAGAGGGAAGAGGAACACTATAACACTTCTTAACAAAAGGGCACCTCGTTATCTTGCTCTTTTCACTATATCCAATTGCATTATCGGGTTTTGTATTGTGTGAGATAGGGTATATAGAAGTTACATATCTTGTTTACATTTCTTGCTATGTATAGATCAACCAGTTCTAAATTCGAGCCAATCACCATTCAAGGATTCCAGTGTAATCTAAAATTCAGGATCAAATTGAGATAGGCAAAATTTTTCTCCAAAAACCAGAAAAAAGTTTACACGCTTGAAAGGATAGAAGGAAAGCTATAGAAAGATAAAAGAAGAGTTCCAAAAACTATGCCAGTATTTTCTAAAGTCTTGAATCTCTGGAGAAAGAGAGAAGGATATTTTTTCTATAGGTTTCTTTTTTTTAACAAAGTTTTTTTGCCTTTAACTTTATAAGTTGATATTTCTTATATTTACTTATAGAAATACAAGTTTATGTCAAAAAAAAAAAGAAACAAGTAGGGGAGACTATAGTTTCTTGGTATAAGTATTGTTAATGAAAATGTATAGACTTTATTATAAAGAAATATAAAAATTTTCTTGAACATCTGTTTTTTGTATTAGCAATAGAATTAGCAAAATGAGTTTTTAAAAAATTTATTGTTTTTTTTTTAATATTTCTTTAATTAATTAATTAGTATATTAAAATTTCAAAATTTATTTAAAAAGATATTCTTTAGGTTTAAAATATATAACTTTATATTGTTACTATTATTTATTATTAATTTTTTTTTTTGGGGGGGTTTCCCCTCATAGGTAAGCATCATTTCTTTATTTGATATTGTATATAACATGGTATACA